TATATATATATATATATATATATATATATGTACATGCACGTTGCACGATCTTTTCGATTAATTAGAATTTTGATTGTTTCTTTACTTTTTCTTCTGTTGTCGTGCTTGTGATATATATAGATCTGAATTAAGTAAGCTTAGAAGATTTAAATAAAACGAAATGCATGTTTCCTGATAGAAGAATCCCACTTTCGAGATGATCGTTCTACTTGTGCTCAATGAAAACATGAAACTATTTTTTTATTATATCGATCTCGTGATTTAATAATTTCATGCCACGAAACAGAGTTCTTCCCTTACGAATTCTCATCGATCTCTTCAGCTATGCAATTGTAGGACAAAACCGACAATTCACAAAACGGATGTGATCGATTAACTTTAATGCAATAAACATTTTCAGATTCTTCAAATCAAAGTGATCACGCGCACATAGATTGAATCAGTTTGTGAATTAATCGAACCATTGATTTTTCGATTCAATTCGTTCTCTGAAATGATTCATTCGTAATAAATTGATTCGATTAATAGTCGAATCAACAACAGTAATAACGAATCAAAAACAGTACGATATGTATTAAAATTTCAACAACTTAAACGTATGATGAATTTTCTTTTAGAGACAATAACTTATTTTAATCCATTATATATTTTTCTTTAAGGGAATGAATTAATAAAAGAAATGTAATGTTTATATTTACAATTAACTTTTGCCAATGAAAATTATTAAACGATATTCTAAAGAAAAGTTGAAAAATAACAAATAACTCTGTTTTTTTAAAAGTTTAAAACAAAAAAATGTGCCATTATATGTTTTTCAAGGTTCTTTAAGGGAATGAATTAATAAAAAAAATACGATATTAATATTTACAATTAACTTTTGCGAATGAAAATTATTAAATGATATTCTAAAGAAAAATTGAAAAGAAAAATTGATAATTCTTTTTTTTTAAAGTTTAAAACAAAAAAATGTACCATTATATGTTTTTCAAGGTTCTTTAAGGGAATGAATTAATAAAAGAAATGCAATGTTAATATTTATAATTAACTTTTGCGAATGAAAATTATTAAACGATATTCTAAAGAAAAGTTGAAAAGTGACAAATAACTCTGTTTTTTTAAAAGTTTAAAAAATGTGCCATTATATGTTTTTCAAGGTTCTTTAAGGGAATGAATTAATAAAAAAAATACGATATTAATATTTACAATTAACTTTTGCGAATGAAAATTATTAAACGATATTCTAAAGAAAAATTGAAAAGAAAAATTGATAATTCTTTTTTTTTTTAAAGTTTAAAACAGAAAAAAGGAAATTTTTGGTAAACGACTCAGATTGTTGATACAAGATTAATATTTCACGCACAAACACATCAAACACATACACTTATATCACTACTATCAGCTACACACGCACATATGTATGTCAGCTACGTTAGAATGATTGAAAATGAAGAAAGACTATACAAAACGGTTGGCGTCGCATCGATCATTTGTGTGCATGTTATTGTTGTTTATCCTAGCATTGTCCAACGAGAATAACCGTTCTAAAAGTGGAACCGTGAATCGGTGTTGCATCCAACGAAAGTAACGGAACGCAACGGATACACGTACGAGGATCTGCTTCTCTCTCTCTCTCTCTCTCTCTTTCATTCTCTTTTTATAAATGAAACTCATTAAAAGCTTCTAATCACGTTCTAATCGAGCAAAGTTGGACGACTTGCTCGATTTAAAGTACGTCACAAATTTGCATAATCATCGGCAAACTTTTTCTCAAAACAACAATTTTCAACACACAACTTTTGACTGTGATTTCAATGTCGTTTCTTTGGAAAATCGTTTTCCAAATTGAACTTAATTAACGCCTTCGTGTTAAAAATGGATTTTTAAGGGGAAGTGGATAAGAAATGGAAAACGAATTGTTGAACACGAGACGGCATGGCACGGCGTCGAAATCATCATGTCCAGCCTATGAAGAGAGATGGTAAAGTCTCTCCTCGAGAACTCGACGCGAGAACACAAGAGCAACTATGACCCACTCCAGACGCTTTCTTCGCTTTTGTCGCTTGTAATCGTCTTTCAGCAATGTTCTCTATCTTCGAGAAAGAGAAAGAGAGAGAGAGAGAAAGAGGAATGAGCACTACTTCTTCCACAGCTGATGCTTTGTCAAGCAAGGGTAATAGGAAAATATGTTCAGAGAGTTAATTACCTTGTGCGGTAATTGATGAGAGAAGCGGATCTTGTTATGCGTTGTTACACGTCGTTGTGTAATATAGAGAGGAAGGAAGAGAGAAATTTTACTTTCATTTCTTCTTTCCTACTACTTTTTTTTTTTTTAGCTGAAAATTATGCGTGAAATCTCATCGATGAACGAAACGAATGCGTCGCGGCATACTCAAATCAATTTTATCTCAAGTAAGTTTGCGACGAAGTGACGAGGAGAGCTGCGAGGAAGGTGGTGTATGGTATATATTATCGTAGTATGATAAAAATGTTTGTTTATTCTTTTTTCTTTTTTTTTTTTTGGTAGCTGTGACGATCGAGGCCGAGGGATTGGCGATCGGGACAAGTAGTTGGATTAAGAGCAGAAGTCTCTGGTCGATCATAAAAATGCATCACTCTGCCAGCCTAACTCTCCACTCACTTTTTCTTTTCTCGCTACTATCCTCGATCCTCGCCGATTCACTATCTATCTTACAGACGAACGCTTTTTCTTCTCTCTTTTTTATGTCGTAACGCGCAAGATGTGGCAGCTTCCCGCTTATTCTTCTTCGTATTTTTTGAGATGATTTCGCCTAGACTGTAAATTTCGTTTCTCGTGAACACGGTGCACACTCTCGACCGCCGCTTAATTACCTTCATTATCAGAAATCGATTTCCATCTTTGAACGAAGCTTGAAGTGTCTCTCTCTTTTTCTTTACCTCTCTCAACAAGTTCTTTTAACTACGCGAGATTGCCGCAATAGTTACAACTCGTTAAAAAAGAAAATTTGTAAAATCAATTCGCTTCGAATTCCCGATGGAAATCGAAAGATTGCTTTCTATCTTCCCTTTAAGGAGAAGGCGGTCGAGCGTGTAAATCGGCTGCTCCTCGTGTTCCAAGGTTGAAAAAATGGGAAATGGAAAATCTCAAAGGATCATGATGATTCGTTTCAGGACCCACTTTGGAACCGCCATTGCCACGGCGAAAGAAATGTCCGGAGCTTGCGTACAAAACGCACGAATTCATCACGGCAGCCGATGGGGGTGGTATCGATGCCGTCGATTCCAACGTTGTAGCTGACAAAGTTCGAGTACGTTGTCAACACCAATTCGAATTATTATTTTTTTTTTATTTTATTATATATCGATTATGGGAACGATAGTTGACAATAAACGTTACATAGTAATGGGAATTCTATATTCGGAAATACTTGCACCATTAACCCTTTGCACTCCACGTCTTTTTCGCTCAACCGAACAAACAACTCCTGTTCTAATATTTTATGTATTTTTACATGTAAAGAAAGAAAATTTGTTGAATATTAAAGTGATATTAGCAAGATACAACTCCCGTTCGATGAATTTCTCAGCTAACTTGAAATGATTTCACACACAGATTAACGTTGTAAAACTTTTAAATATTCTAATATTTTATGTATCTTTATATGTAAAGAAAGAAAATTTGTTGAATATCAAAGTGATATTTTAATAATAACCAAGATACATTCTCGATTTGTCAGGACAAGTATCGCGATAAAATTTGATGTTTTTCACCTTTCTTATTTCATTTCAGAGCAAACTTTAGTCTTATTTTTCATTCATTTTCCTTCTCTCTATCGTCAATTTCTTAACGAATAGAAATAATTTCGTTACTTAATAACGAAAAATCAAACTCATCTTCGCTCGAACTAATTTCATTACTAGTATTCCATGCTTACAAAACTCGAAAACTTTTTTAAAAGTAATATTTCTATTGTCAAACTCGAACTAACGCCGAAAATGTAATAATTCGATCACGGTCTAATTTGGGATAAAAAAATCTAACTATTCGATAGTATATTATTCTACGCTTTATAAGATCATTCTAAATTTAGGAATCTATTCGTGAAGCGATATTTTAAAAAAAATGGAACATAAATAAATATCATCGCCGTTAGAATTGCCGTATCAAACCGAGGTTGTCACTATTGGAGCGCAAAGGGTTAATCAATGATGATGAAAAAGAAAGAAAGAAAGACTGCAAAAAGTAGTTTATTCAGAGATTTTTCCTGTGTATAGCCTGCAGGACAATTTCTTCAAGTTCTTTGTCAACAAGTCGTCGTCATCGAGTCTCGTTTCGCTTGACCCGTTTTTTTTTTTCCATAAAAAACGGTCGAAAACCAAAAAATTTTACGCTTTTATTTTGAGAGAATCCCATTGAAGTAACATCGTTATTGCAGGAAGTTACAACGCAGTCGGGTTTACCACCGAGTCAATTGAGCAAAGCAATCTCACGGATCAGCACCGAGTATCGATTGCAGTTTGCCTGGCCTAGAAGACCCCAACTGACGAATGGCGAGACAGTGGCACCAGGAGTGATGGCTGCCGGACTCCCTGCAGGTACGACAGGACCACCTAGAAAGTCTCTCAGCATGGGAGCTCTTAAGCAGGGTATCGCTCCTACAGGGCCCGCCCCGGTTCACAAGAAACGTCCCGGTGATGTCGATCATAAGCGTGATGGTAAATGGAACATCTCGACAAACTTATAATCCTCCAGCTGTCCGCTTCCCAAAGTGTCTTGAGTCGTTCAAAGTAGAAAAAAAGTGTCAAATTTTTTAGTTACAAAGACATCGCTCTCTCTCTTTGATCCTTTCTAACTGTTTCTTTCTTTCTTTCTTTCTTTCTTTCTTTCTTTCTTTCTCTCTCTTTTTTTTTCTTTTTTTTTCTTTTTTTTTTTTTTTTTCCGTTATTAATGTTTCACAGGGATGCAAGCATCGGAGCTAGAACCTTTGGTCGGAGGAACTGGAACGGACACTATCGACGGAGTGGTGCCCGAGGGCGATGAGCGCGAGGAAGACATGTCGGATTTGAAAATAACTTTCAGGTCAGAGTTCAAAAAAACGATATATAATTCGACCTAGCTTATCGAACGCAGTTCCTTATCGCGATGTTCAGACGACGGGGTTCGAAAGGAAGAACAAGAAAGCATCTACGACGATCTCCTAGAGTCGATCGGGAAGCGTTTCGCGATCGATGTATATCCCCACGTTAGTCGAGAAAAAGAAAAAGAAAAAAAAAAAAAAAAAAAAGAAAAAAAAGACACACGTCATTGTATCCCAATACAACCACGATTGATTCTTTGCAGGGGTAAAAAATCAGGTAGGACCGTAAGGATATCGGATGATAAAGGGCTGAGCAAACCGCAAAAGGAGAAACCGTTTCCAACTGCTGAAGTCATCGAGCTTAGACGACTCGCTGACGAGTACAAGGTAATTCCGGGAGCAAAGATGCCACTATTCCATTCCTTTCTTTCGTCGATATTTATTCTTCGAGTTTCGCATTCGAAACCCTCCCTCCTTTCTTAGCGTATTTCATTTCTCGAGTGTTTCGTCGTCCATAGCGTATCTTTAGTGTACCTTGTGTGCCTTTGTAAATATCTTTCAATTCACAAATCGTGTTCACAAAGGTGAATCGATCGTCGTTTCACGAGTTCGTTCGAATTTGCATGCGTTCGTCTCGTTCAATTTTCCAAAAACCGAGTTGATTTTCAATTTACAACAGCAAATCAATCATCCACCGAACACGACAAATTTCAACGTATCTTTCCTCAAATCAAACCTCGTACACATTGTACACGTGCATGTTTTTATGAAATCGATTAAGAGACGAGAATCGTTTGTACACAAAACAATGTGCGCGCCTCTTTCAAAGCATGTTCTCTGTGTACGTGTTCGTTCGTATGTGTGTGCGCGCGCGCGTGTGCGTTAGTGCAACTAGAAGCTTAGTGTCTTCTCTAGGAAAAAATAAAAGCAAAAGCAATGACGGAATGATTGGTTCTCATTTACATTAGCATCGCGACTGGGGTTGCGGTCTGGCAGCCGAGGACGAGGCTTCGCTGTGGAAACGGGTCTCCAGTAACCACGCTCTCAACGCGCTGTCCCTTGCCAGGCCAGTACACTATTCCACTCTCAAACGTCATTTTCAATGTCGCTACTGACGATCGAAATCGATCAGTAGCAAGAGATGTTAGAGTTTAATAGAAATGTGAAACGGAACGATCACTGGTTCTTCACGGGAAAAAAATATAAAAATAACGACGAATGAATTAAATAACGAATAAAAACGTCGTTAGAAAATAATCGTAACTGTTTGATGATCAAACATGATGTTGTGTGTGACTGTAACACAACATGTATGCGTACGATTACTTTATTCGTTGACTACACCATTTGATCGATCATTTTTCATTGTTTACACGATACAAAAGTAGTATAGGTGTGCGCATAGCGAACGCAATCAACAACGTGTAACGCAACACGTTTTAAATTCTGTTGTCATGACACCTTATCGAAAGAAAGAAAAAAAAGACAAAAAAAAAAACGACGATGAATTAATTGGACAAGTTCTGTCATTTATCGAATTTAAGATTCGTTAGCCCAATTATTTTGAAGAAAAAAAAAAAAAAAACAAACAAACATTTCCATTCGTACACGCGCACAAACGCGTTCACACAGCTCAAGTGAAAGGAAAAAGAAGAAAAGAAAAGAGTCAAACGTAGTTGTACAGGGAACGAATTCGCATCTTTCACACGGGTTTTGTCGTAGCTGCCTTTTATTTCTTCCACGCGAAAAATGTGTCTTCTGCCTCGTGACGAATTGCAACATTTTCGGGGGGAAAAGCCAGTGACGAATGATTGCGTATTTAGGTCAGTAACGAAGGAAGAGAAAGAAAAAGAGAACACGAGAAAAGTTGCTCCGGTTACTGCCGCGATGACCATGCCTCCTGCAGGTCGGCCATCTTCGGTTCAAGCTAGACCCATTCATGGAATTTTGCAGGATGATACTAAAGCGGTACGTGGATCATTTCGTTTCAGTCACGGCTAAGTCAGTCATCGGTCTCATTCGACTCTACGTGTCGAATAATTATTACACATTGTCGAACAGGATACGGAAAGAGCTATTGCTCGCGCAAGAAAAGATTTCTTGATCCGCCATCATCTGGATCGTACTACTGGCGTGGGTAAGTAATATTAAAAAATCAATTCGCAAACACGATGAAAACTTTGTGAAATTATTTTTTCTTTTTTTTTCTTTTTTTTTTTTCTCTCTCTCTCTCTCTCTTTCCTGCGTTGCAACACAGGCGATGGTGCACTGCTTCCCTCTCCAACGAGAGAAAAGTTGGAGCCCGTGATACCACGACGTCGAGAGGAAACGAAAGAGCACCGCGAAGAAATTCAGCCTAAAACGAAATCCAGCCCTAAGAACAGTCCAAGAACCGGTCGTTCGCAGAGCCTTGGTCCAACTGTGACAGAACGTCGATCACCTAAACGTCAACCGCCTCGTGCGCCTTCCGTAACTAAAGATGCTAAGGTAATTAATTAATTTAGAAAATATTTTTTTTCACACGATATCTAAACGATATCTAACAACGATTTATTTCGAAAGACGAGAAGATTCGATCGAAATGATAAAATATCGAAATAATTTTGAAGGTTTGAACAATCGTTATATATAAAATTATCGATCGAATTCCCTTTGTTTAGGAAAAGGAGAAGGAACCAAAGGACAAGGAGAAAGAGCTTTTTAAAAGGGAAAAAGGCGGTGAGCCTGAAAGGCATCCACGACCGAGTAAGTAAGATGAACGAGCATCGATACATACTTCGTCATCTCTCTTTGTATCGATATATAGTCGATCGATTTAGCATTCAAGAGATCGTACCACCAAATCGATTGGCGCTCGTAATTTTGTTACGAGTTCCTTTTGCATTTTCGTGCATATATCTATCATTGAATTTTATTGGATATAGAAATCCATACATTATATTTACGTATATATATATATACATATATATATATATATATATATATATATATATATATATATATATATATGTATATATATATATATATACATACATATATTATGTGAGTTTGGTCTGCTGTTTGCTCTTGTGAGTCCCGAAAGCCAAACCGTTCGTCATACCTGATCGTATTTACCCTATTCGAATCGTGTTGCAAAAGAGACATTCACCGCTATTAAGAGCGTTATTACATTTATTTACATTTATTTGTATTTCTTTCTTTTTTTTTTCTATAATCACTATAAATATAATCTATATATAATCTATAAATAATTATAAAATCGATCTGTATTTCTTTTTTATTAAATAGACTCTTTCAAGCGGTGTATGTCTAATACGTTAACTGCCAAATGGTCGTTAATGTTTAGGCATATGCATGACACTCCTGTTTAATCGTTTCTATATCTCTGTTTCTGCCTTTGAGTCCACATCTATAGTAACTATAGTAGACCTATTGATTGTCCGTACAGAAAATTTTGCGAAAATGTTGTCTCCCCCTTTTTCCCTGAACGGCCTCCGGAAACCGTGGAATAGCCTTGAACCAACTCGTTTAACCGTTCCTTGTTACATTAGAAAGTTCGATGTCGGCCAGATTGAAATAATGTCAATCAAGTAATGCAAATCAAAACCAACGATAAAGGTATCCCACCTATAATGAATCATTAATGAAAAAAAAAAAATTTAACATCTTTTACAAAAATGATACTACATCGATCCACTACTCAATCCAAATATCATCGATTCGATAATCACATTGTTTCATATGTTTATCAATAATATCGTTTCATATATTTATATATATATACATTTAATATCATGATTTTTCATCCTACGTGAAAATGCCTCCTCGTAATCATTCGTAATTCACCACACATCTTCGATCTATCATCGTCTTTCATCATCTTTCGTCACTTGGTCGTGTACCGAATAGTCATCGTAATTATGCCTCATCCATTGAACCATCTATCGCCTATCGATGAGCAACAAGCACTCATATGTTAGTCGTAATCGTTTCAACTTCATCTCATCTCTCAGCTCTTCGAAAGCGTCTCACAAGAGAAAAGAAAAGAAAAGAAAAAAAAAAAAAAAGAAAAATCTAACGATGTCTGCCAATGTGTTTTTTGATTGAAATCACTGGATGCATCGAGATGGATAGAATACTTTTGATAAAAATAAACATCCCTTCGCCTCGTCCTTCCGCCCACCCCTATTTCCAATTTCCCCTTTTCTCTTTTTGTTTTGTCAATCTTTGCCTCTCTTTCTCTCTGTCTGTCAATCTATTCAGTCATTAATCAGGCTAAAAGTTGCTCGCGCGAGATCGATCGCGATCAGATCGACGATCGTGTCCGAGCATTGCGATCGGATTGATCAGGAGTGGTAGCGGGTGTTTCAGTCACGGGCCCTGGCCGCGTGCGTTGGAGCATATGGGAACCGTCGACGGTTTCCTCGACGGGTTCGTCGACCAGCGTGCCACCATTACCGCCACCACCCTCGGGCCCAGGGCCTACTCCGTTCTACAGGAGGTCCCCGCAGGTCCATCGGAAATGTACGTTCTCTGTACCACGTACCTGCTGCCCGCTAGCCCGACTTTCACGTATTTCAGATATCTCTATAAACCTTTACTCCCGCACCAATTACCATGGTCACTATTTATACCTTACTCACCGTGCTAACTGTCTCTATCTTTAACCCTTAAACAGTTTAAATGATTAAATGTAGAAGGTAGAATGTATGGGGTACGAGAATGATCATTAAACGTACACGAACTTGTATTTAATTAATCCGTTTTATCGCGAAATTAAACTGTTAAAGGGTTGAATCGAATCGTTGCTCTTAACGATTATTATAATAAACGTGATGAGAAACTTCTTGAAAAACGTTAGGATTAAAATCGAATTTCTAACGAGTATTACTGATAATAAACATTTCGTATGGGTTCGAAAGTTTGTGGGTGAAAATTTTTTCTTGTTTAAACGATTCCCGATTCGTTCGCAAATCAAAGCTTCAAGAAATATTTAATCAAATACTTATTCATTTCTTTCTCCCCTCTTGTAACTGTTCAAGATTCATCTATGCTCGAATATTTTTCGAGATTACACGCGTCGTTTGTTCGATCAGTTCCAGGATGATTCGAAACAATTTTCAAAACAATGATATTGAGATTGACATTACATATGTATATACCTATATGCACCTATATGCGTATATACCGCAATGAAATTCCAACTTTCTCGTCTATTGTGACGCGATACACTTATTGCGTCCATAGCTACTGGAAATGCAAGTGCGAGGAAACCTCGATATTCGAGTGTGGACGTAATTCTGAGCGGCTTGATAATGCCGAAAGATCCTTCAACCCTCGTTAACCCTCTCCAATAAAAAAATAAATCTCAACATATGCGATGCAACCTTGCTTAAAATGTAAATTACGTATAAAATGAATCTTCTTTGATACGAATCATGTATAACGATTTTATAAACTCGTCGATATTCACACTTATTTCGAGAAAAATATTTCGAAATATTTCGATCGAATATTCGAAATGTTTCATATCGCGATAGATATTTTACATTTCTCAAATTACGCAAATGCATAAACATTTCAAGCAAGGTATTGCGCCAATGAGAGCTGTCTTACACGTAAATTCCCTTAATCGAAACGACGCTTTATTCATCATTGTACTTTGTGTACCGTATGTTTTAGCCTTCCTCGCAACCACAGCTCCCCCCTATCGCCCCCTTCATCACATCAAACCCTCAACCACTACCACGAGTACTACCACAATTACCACTACTACTACCACAACCACTATCACTACCACTACAAACACAACAAGTACAAGCGTAAAACCCCCGGTAAAACATTCGATTCATACGAGTGTCCATCACCCACCTACGTCGAGCGCTGCTGCTGCGGCCAGGCCGGACCGTGTTAAAGATATAAGCCGATCCCACCAAGGTCCAAACGAAGCTCAGGCAAAAACGGGCCGCGACCAGTCAGCTGCGGCTGCGGCCGCAGCCGCCGTCGCCGATCCATCCAAATCATCCTCCGATAGTCGATACGCGTCAAACCAAGCCGCTACCGCCGTCCAACCTAGTAAGTAGCATGCTCTCTGTCAGAAAAAGACCTGTGTTCTTCTCCGTTCGCCTTATATATATACATATATATATATATATATTTACCCGCTCGAACACAATTTAAACAATGCTTTCCGTGTGTTCGTTGGTGTCGTTATCGTTGTCATTATCATTGTCGTAATCGATATCGTTGTCGTTATCTTTATATCGCTATCGTTGCCTTTGTATATTTGTTATTATTATATACATATAATACTTTTTTCTCTCCCTCTCTTTCTTTTCTTCTCTATTTATCTATCTGTCTATCTGTCTCTTCTTCGCCTCGATTATCTTCTATTCGTTTTTTTCTCCACTATTTTTCTCGTTGATTCGCTACTCGAATCCCTAATTTTTTTTCTACTTTCACACACACGTTCTCTCTCTCTCTTTCTCTTTTTCTGATATTGTCTATCTCCTTGGTACTCTTTCAAAGCAATAGTGTTCGGAAGTGAAGCTATTCCTGAAATTCACACTTTAATACACTTCTTTTTCCCGCGCGAAATAGAGCGCCTATGAGTTCTTCCTTTCTCGTCACGCTTTCATAGTATAGATTGCATATAGATCGTATATTCAGATATATATATATGAATATATTTACCATGTTTTCACTCGAATCGGATAATTCTTCGCGATTGTGTTTTTAATTCTACTCTACTACTTGTCTCTACTAATGTCTACGTCGTCTAGTTGTCAAATCAAGGGATTCGAGATAGCTTTGTGTGATATCCGACTGTGGTCTATATTTTTTTCACCACGCTGAATTCATCTTGCTAAATTCGTTCCTTTGTGCATAGCCGGAGCTGTTTTTGTTAGATCAGCTTTTCGCACCAACACCCGCGCCTAACCTTAAAATCGAATCGTCACTCTCTAAAGACTCTTGAACAGAAAAAGGAACGGAAAGAAGAAAAGAAACGTGTTTAGAACGAGTCAGGTGACCGTTGAACGTAAGTGTGTGCTTCCAACGATGATCTTCCGTTTAGAGAATGCGAAAATTTTTCTTTACAGAGAAACAAATGCAAATGATATTTACTTAGCTCGTAATATGATTATTAAGCAATACGTGACATTTCTGCTCGTTCTCTTTCTTTCACATTCTTTTTCTTTATATTTTGTTTTTCTCTTTTTCTGATCATATCTGAATTCGCAGGATTCTGCTTTTTGTTGAACACGGGGACAACTACAAGGGGAAGCAGAGAAAAGAGGAAAGCAGATTATCCGTGATATTTCACCGCTCAGTGCAATCGAGTACATAAATGTGCGATAGAGAGAGAACAATAGCCTGTATGCTAGAGCCCTTTGTCAACCTGTTGCGTGGCCGTGCAATACAGCTGCACATTTACACACATTCTATACGTCACACCTAACCTAGTATTCTTTCTACTTCACCAATCTCTCTCTCTCTCTCTCTCTCTCTCTCTCTCTCTCTCTCTCTCTCTCTTCTGTTTATCTCTTTCTGTTTATCTACTATGTATGTATCTGTATATTCGTACAAATACATATATGTTTCTTCCTGCATCCTGAGTACGCTAGTGTACTTTTTATTGAAATGTTCCCATTTCGTAGATTCCTCGTGTAATCGCGAATCATAATCGATTTTCGATATCAGCGCTCGATGACTCGATCAATGTTTCTCTCCACTCCTGTTTAAATATCGTTATAACCACCAACGGTAAGAACGAGATAAAAATCCTTTTTTAAATAGAGTGTAAATACAGAGTGTCTCGTTAAAATGTAAATAGTATAGAGTCGTATAATAATAGTATAATCACGATAGAAAGTAGGATACTTTTAGGATAGAAAGTATCCTGAAATTTAAATGGAACAAAAGAAGAGAAAAGAAATATATACATATATATAAAAAATTCGAAACATCGAGTGCGATCCAGCTCGAGCTCGAGCAACAGGATGGTTATATACAAAATCGTTAAAAGTGTCAATGAAACGTTGCAGTGACGGCAGAGCCACAAGTAAACGGGGACGTGACGGGTGGAGAGTCGAGTGTCGCGTCAACGCCACCGTCCCAGTCTCAGGCGCCAGTTTCAGCCACCGCCGCAAGCCCGTGGATCGACGACGAACCGGTAGTGAAAAGTCCGCCAGAACCAACCAGGGTAAAGTCGCCGGAACAAATGATCATGCGTTCACCGGAACCGGTCAACTGGACGGTTCCATTAGACACCGGGAAAACGTTCACTGTCACGCAAAACGTTAGAGAAGGTATTTTAACATTTGTTCTTTCTTTTTCTTTTTTTTTTTTTTCGAGAAATAAAAAATACAAAATTCAACGGTACTCATTAGTGAACGTCGTAGAATTTTCATATTATATTTAATATGTACAGCGAATCTTTGAACTTCGAACGGTTCAAAATTCTTGAACTTGAAACTTCAAAATCGCGCACAGAATCATATGATAGTATCAATCTGTTTAATAATGAAAATATGAAATTTTTAAAAAATTTTTTAAAAAATAGATAAAAAATATTAGATATATTACGTATCTTTTAAAATAAGTAGATAGATAATGTTGATCAACCAATCTTTATTTTAATGCACAGATGAAATCTATAATTTTAATTTTAATTAATTAATTATATGTATATATTAGTTATTAAAAATAAAAATATTCAATTATTAGAATTATTTTATTTATTAATATGATCTTTTGAAATAGACATTTAAAATGTTTTACATTGTGTAAATTTTAGAGATCTTTAAATTAATTCAATTTACACATTTTTTTGGATTAATTCAATTTATATTATTTCAAAAAAGTGGAGAAATTTAAATCTAAAGTTTAGTTAAAAGAATGGATTGTATTCGAAATTTAAAAGTTCACTATTGTTTCTCACATATCATTAAAAATATATTTGAACAAGTTGTCAAAAAATTATTGATTTAAATAAACTCGAAATATCGTTAAGGATATTTTGGATAATTTTCTCATACATATAACCAATAATTAATCTTAATTTTTATATTATATATAAGTTTTATACTATGTATAATTATTTGAACGAGTAAGTAAATAAAAAATTTAAGAAAGTGATTCTAAAGATAAATCCAAAAATTGATATATAAAAATTGGAGTTTACTTTTCAAGTTGTAAATAATTTAATTTTACTCTAGAGTAAATCGAAAAAGACTTTGAGTGTAACGGAAGTAACGCTTTTTATTCCATCGTCGAGTTGTTTTATTTCATCTAATGCAAAATTAAATTGTTTATAGTTTAATAAATAGCTTTAATGAATGTTTTTGCGTATCAACTTTTGTATTTGTTTTAATCTTTAAAATCACTTTAAATTTTCTAGCTATGTACATACATATAACTACATACATATAACTACAGAAGCATGCAACGATATCATTTTTTTCTATTTTTTTTGATTTGAATTTTAAAATAAGATTTTCCATAAGCATGTTATTAGATGTCAATATTTCAAATACATATAAATACATAAAATGCATATATATGCGTGCAAAGCTATATATAAATGAAATATTTAAATGTATAAATACATTTATATGTAAATACAATTATAGAAAATCTTATCTCAAATCAAAAGCAAAATCTGAACCGCTGAAACTCAATGTATGTATATAACGTAAAATATACTCAAAGATTGTTCAAAATATTTAATGCTTTCAATATTATATTTCAAACTCATTGAAGATCTGATATGAGAAAATAGTTTTCCAATAAATTCACAATATATTTAATTCGCTATAAATATTAATAAAATTCCATTTTCATGATATTCAATTTATCATAATATATTTTCAAGAACCTCTGACGCGTCCGCATAGCGAGGCAAAGAGCTGGGCACCTTCGTCGGTTCCATCGGCTCCGCAATCTGCACCACCTGAATTAGCGGCACAGCACAAGTCGCAACATTCCCAACATTCCGGATATAAATCTCCAGAAAGTGAAAGTGTTTCTATAGGTAGCTTTAGCGGTTTGAACGGACACAAGGACATGGACTCCGAAAGGGATAGTCCGTTGCCCTCGAATATTCAAACTGGCGGCACCCCCACACACGTTGACGATGTAAGACTACTGTTTTGTTTTTTTTTTTATGAAAAAATATTATTCAACTTGGTTTAAAATAATCGATCTTAAAATTAAAAATAAATTTAAATTTCGAGAAAGAAAACGTTTTTTATTCTCGGTAAAAATAAAAATTTTGATCAATTATAGGAAACAGGCGGTATCGAAGAAGAATCTAAAGAGCAAAGATCGGAGCCATCAATAAAATCCGTAGCAGGGACGAGCTTAAGATGTCTAGAGGATCCAAGTTTCGAATATGAGAGGAAAAAAGAAGGTAGCCAGCCAACAACGACGGCGACCATGACAGCCCCGTCATCGACGACGACTCCTCAACAGGGTTACCGCATCCTGGAGGCGGAGTCGCCTCAAGGTGGCACCATTGATAGTGGCGGTGCCGGTAACGTGGGTGGAATAGGAAGTAGCGGGGGTGGCTACCATGTACTGGAAGCGCCGACAGTGGTTCCAGGCTCTGCACAACGTTCCGCAGCGAGCGAAGTGCTGGAAAAAGCACGAAATCGTTTCGATAAATTCTGGGGAAAGAGCAGCGGCTCAGAGAATTAGGGCGTTCAATGCGAGAAAATAAAAGTAGTAGCAGTGTTCTCGAAAGCGGAGGAGCAAAGAGAAACGAAAAAGACGAAGGTAGAAGAGAAAAGGAGAATAAATGATAAAACAATTCGACGAGGTTCCTATGGAAGCTCCTTTCCTGATTCGTCTTCTTGTTCCGGTTGTTTTTCATCGGAAACGAGATATCTCGTAGGTTCCTTTCCGTCTTACTCGTCACGTGCTGAGCGTTCTTCGTTCTTCCGGAAACGCCTCGAAAAATCTGTTCGAACATTTTCTTTAATTCGTTCATCAGAACGTATATATATATATATATTGTATTCATCTCAACCAAAAGTTGAAATGATATATTATAGCGGGAATTTTCTTTTTTTTAGGAAAAATTTTTTTTTCATTCCATTTCATTATTATTTTAAGCACGAAAAGAAGAATTTTTCGAACTTATACGAGTGCTTGATAATGTAATCGATAAAGTTTCGAAAAAAAGACGTCGTAAAGAAAAAAAAAATTGGTAAATATATCTTCTCTATAAAATGAAAACAAGGAAAACGAAGAGGTGCATGCAGGAAATTATTCTTATTAAAATTCGAAGAATAATTCGAAGAATGCATTTGATTATGTACACAAATACACATTTACGCAATACACAGTGTTATGCACACATTTTTTAATTTGCCAGAACTAGCAAATATATGTTCGACTGAAAGATGATTTTAAGTCGAAATGAAGAAAATGTTAAAACAAAAACTTAAAAAAATCTAATTTCCAATCTGTAGGACATTCAGATATATACACAAATATACACGCGATACCACGAGATGGGATACATAGAAAGGCACGCACTTAGACGAGTATGCGAGTCAATAAGTTTCTAAGATGTTTCAAGTGATCCTTCGATGTTTCGGCGGGGGATCAGCCATAGTTAAGTCCGAAATTTTTTTTTTTCCATTATATAAGAACAAGGGAATGAAGAGAAAAAAAAGAAAGAAAATAATCGTGACGAATCGAATTGCGAGGAAATAAAATACGGCTTGTTGCTATAAATAAGGAGAGAAGGATTCAATAACCTTCAATCGCTTCGTGCATTTTATATAAATCTATATACAAAAAACAATTATGTACGTATACACGAATATGAATGTGTACAATTAATGGGTATTGCACTCGCGGATTACATAATCACGGAACCGAAAATATTCCTAAGATCTTTCCTGTCAATCATCCAATTTTTCGTCTTATCGATCAATTTAAAAAAAAAAAAAAAAAAAAAAAAAAAAAAAGATCTCTAGAAAGAAAGTTGATCGTCCGCGATAGATCTGATTAAATTATTATCGATAGTACCGTGAAAAGATTAGTTTCTTTTAAATACAAACTAACATTTTCTGCCGATTTAACAAGTTTGCCGATTCAGAAATGGATATATATTCCATTTTTATATAGAATACTTGATCGTTTTTTAAGAAATTTATAGAATAGTCTGTATTATTACTGCACAAGGCTGACATTTTTGACAGTTGTATCATATTCATATTATTATACAGATATTCTTATTGTTTATTCGCTTATCTTATCTTTGAGCAAAAACAAAATCTTCAGTCTTTCTTATAAGATATCTTAGTCTTTCCTTGAATTTTCTTCAAAAAAATTTCTTGAAAAAAAAAAAAAACGATCAAGTAACGAGCAATCTCCCAAAAAAAAAAAACTGGCAAACGAAAACTATCATCAAGCGAAATGAATTACTGTAGTGAGGCGTAGTGTTTTTTTCATGCATAATACATAATTCTCGAGAACAACCGGGAAAGACGAATTAATTCAATCGTTGGGAACCGACGAGAATCGAAATAAAACGAAGGGAAATTTGCAATTCCTACGAATTTCGCGCGAGAAATCACGCTTTTACGCGTCGCTTGAATTTACGATTAGAAACTTGGTATTAGTTCAAAATATATTGAAATTATGGAATAATCTGAAGAAAAAAAAAAAAAAAAAAAAAAAAAAAANAAAAAAAAAAAAAAAAAAAAAAAAAAAAGAAAGAAAGAAAACGGGGAAGAGAAGGATGAATATTAACTTCCCGTGAAATGTTGTATTCCGTCTGATTTCTTACATGATAAATTCATTCGTACGTTTCTCTTAAGAACGAATCGAAGGTAAAGAAGAAAAGAAGAGAAAAGAGATTCGATGTGTCCGAAGTTTGATAACGAGGGAAATCTTCCTATCTTAAAATATAGGAAATAAAGAGAAACAAAATAAATAAATAAATAAAAGATCGAAGCAATCTTTTTATGAAGAGATATAGGATTCCCTTGTTTTCGCTTCGAGGACGATGGAAGGAGAGCAAAGAGAAATGCAAAGAAAAAGAAAAATACCGAATGACTCAAGCGACGGAGCTTTTTCTCTCTTTCACGCGCATTTGGTACACCGGTACACCACACTCCATCCAGATCCACGTCCAAGAGTCAACCAACCGTAGTGAAGCAGTATAATGATAATGATTAATATGATAAACGATAATCTAGTAATAAAAAAAAAAACTATTAAAAGAAAAAAAAATAAATAAATAAAAAAAACGTATGGAAAAAAAATTACAAAATGCAAATGACTGACGAGGGACTAGATGAAAGTGTAAAAGATCAGGGTGTCGATGAAAAATTGTAGGAACATTTTTGAAAATAATTGACCGAACGATAACCAATCAATGATAATTATTATTTTAGTTTTTAATTTAATCGAATTATTTAGTTTCTTTATTAACAAGAAAAGAAAAGAAAATTGTAATTTTAAATCAAAAATTGATATGAAATGTTTAAAATATTTTCATTCATTGAATTATTCATTTGAACAATATTTGTTTGAATTTTTTTTTAAGCTGCAGCTATTCTTTCGAAATAATTTTTGGAAATAATTTTTAGACGTGAAGAAAAAAGATATTGGTTCTTACATGGTGTGGAGAAAAAAGAAATATTGAAATTTATCATTGATTGTATTATCGTCTCAAACAGTTCGAGATATCGGTACGATTAGAAAATATTTGCATCTTAAAATTCTTTTTTCTTTTTTTTTTTTTTTTTTTATAAGAATTTCATGCCATTTTCCTTCTTTCCTCAATTCTCCCTTTCCTTCCCTCGATTGTGTTTAGAAAGAAGAAACGTTTATCTCTGCTTACACCGATCTGTCTGATTCAAAGATGAATACTATCAAATGAAATGGAAAATGAAAAATAAGAAGAAGAAATGCATGACTTTAATCAATAATTTATTAGATTATTAAATGAATTCTATTTCTTATATTTATTTGAATATCTTTTTTCTATTTCTTGTATTTATTTGAATATTTTTGCATAAAATTTTCTATCATTTCTATTTTTAATCATAATATTTTAAAATAATATTTCCATTGTTTTATAAATATTCGTCTAGATTTCTAGATCCGTTTTTAAATCTGTCTTTAATATTCAATTTCGTGATTATGATTCTTATGATTTTTATGCATAATATCATAAAATTGTTTATGATAGTAATCTTATATCAGATATCGAAAGATGTTTTCGATGCAGTCACCATTTTAATCTATTTATCGTTCATTGTAATAAACATTTAAATTACTTACATATTTTATATTAAAATCGTTTTGAAAATTTAAAAAATGTAATATTTAATATGATTATAATTAAAATTAAAACTAAACGACAAAAAAAACTAAAACAACACTATTACAATAGTTCATTCAATCAATATTCTTGAAAGATTCATTTAAAACAGTGGCATTATATAGAGTATTATTATTATTAATGGTTTGCTATTTGCTATATTGCTCTGTTATACAATAATTATTCAAATTGCATTATATTAGGGAAAGAAAGAGGTGAGGACAATTATGATAACATATATTTATTTATTGTTATTATTAAAATTATTAAAAAATTTTTAACAGTATCACTAAATCATATTTATTTTTTTTTTATTTTCTTAGCTAAATCAAAAAATAAAAAAAAAGAGAATGCAAAAAGAGAGAAAAAAAGCTTGAACAGTTTGGTGTAAGCCTATAAAAACGGAGACGGAAACGTTGATCAACAAGGCTAGTAACCGTTTTAAATATGTTGGAGAAGCACCTCGCAGAAGCTTACACTGCCTTTCCGAATTTAGAAGCTGATTTGTCCTGTGATTTCCAGAACGCCACACATCATCATCTATATGGCTACTATGTACATTATATTCAATCTCGATTTGAAACATGAATCATGAAACATGCATGTAGGCACAGAAGGAAAATGATTTTCCCTGTTTTCAAACGAAGTAAGATCCTAATGAATACTGCGAAACAAAATAAATATTTATTCATTTTGAATTAAAATATTTATTCATTTCTATTTGATAGATAATCGATATCGAGTGCGATTTATTAATCATTTGTAAGATTTTTCACAAGACTATAAATAATGTCTTGATAGGCAAAAGTTTAATATATTATGTTTTACTTTATAATTACACGCATATCTAACAAGTACAGATGATATGTTTAAGAAAAAGGCTTGGAAATTTAAAAACCAAAAGTTTATGATAAATCTTCCTTTTAATCAAACAAACGATTTATTATTTCGTATAATTGTTTTCTTTACCAAAATTTATTCAATTCAACATTTCCCTCCCCGTTGCTCCGAGCCTTTCTTCTCATTTCTATACATAGACAGATCTATTTCTAATGATTACAAAATCATCAAATGGATCTTATAAGAAATAATAAATATGAATGTGCTGGCCACATTCAACAAATCAAGATTCAAAACAGAAACTATGAATAAAAGTGTAGTATTTTAGAATATCTTTTTTTACAATTCAGAAAAAATTGGCTATTGAAGACTCTGATGGTAAGAAATACGCGAAAATCATTTTATTTCAAAACAAGTAAACAAAAATATTTAAAAAAATACAGTATCTGAATGATTATTGTTTCAAAATTTCGCCTGTATTCTCGCCTCAGTCTTTATGCCTATTAATATATAGATAGATTGTGCTATATATATATATATATATATATATATATATATTTATATATACAAATATATCTATATATACATTATATAGTATATTATGAAAAAAACAATGCGAATGAAAAAAAATAATATTAGATTAAAACAACAATAGTATTTACAAAAAAATTAAGAAGATAAATCGAAACAAAGCCTGTTTTGTCAAAATAAGAGAATCACGTGTAACGGTCAATTATTATAAGAATAATGACAATGATGAATATGCTTTATAATATCACGAATAGCTATGAATAACTATTTCTTAATTTTTTTTCATCGATTAGATTAATTCTTCTTTTCTTAAAATATTAATTTTTTAAAATATTAAATTTATAAAAGTAAATCTTTTTTTTTTTCCTTTTTCTTTTTTTTTTGAAAAAAATTTTTAGAAAGAAAAATATGATTTGATTTAATTAAGAAATGAAATATAACGAGTTTTCTCGTATTTTACAAAACAGATTGAGAAAAATTTGCAATTGCAAAGTTGAAATCATTATTAAGAATAGCAAACATAATCTGAATAGTAAAGAATAGTTATATACGTAATTTGTTCCTCCGAATATATTTTTTTTCTATGTCATTCTATATCCTTAAATCAATATGTAATCATTTGTTACAAAATATCGAATTTGAATCATTTATCAACATCTTGTTATTTAATTAATGATAAAGATGATAAAATCATAAGAGACATTTCGTCAAGAAAAAATTGAAAGAAATTTTAAGCTACGAATTACGAATTTTTAAATGATTCGATTAACTGCCAAATCATAACATCTATGTATCAATATAACTTTCTTCACTTTATCACAAACAATTTAATTACTTTCCTAGTGTTGAATCCGAAAATAACGCAACAATATTTCGATATTTTATATTAAATTATATAATTAATAATTAACAAAAACTTGATAACGTGCGACTGGAAATTTCAGGAGTTCAATTTTTACGATCACATTTTTTTTTTCTCATATACCTTTCCCGTATTCAATGTGCACATATTGGGACCGATGTTGATCTTTGTAGGAAAATTCACTGTTTGTAAATGAAAGCAAACCAAAGGGAAAGAAAATGATTACTTAATGTGAAATATTAAAAAAGAAATTACTATCACGGCGAGCATATAAATGTTAAGCATTACGTAACACTACGGTACTTTTGCGCATCCCCTTCTCGTCCAAAAATTGCGTTTTTACTCTCCGATTGCATCGTAGAGGAAAATCATTTATTACAATAATTGCAAATTATTATGGCTATATATATATTATATATATATATAAATATATATATTATATATTAGAAATTGAAATATTCGTAATAAAGAACACGCCGACGCTTCCTGTGATCTTGGACTGTTTTAATTGTTCTAAAAGAATTATTTTCCTTTTTTTCAATACATCATACCATCCTTTATCAATTTATTTAGAAAATATAATTGCTAAAAAATAAGAAATACACATGAGTATATCTATAATATGAAACGATTTGATTGAAATAATTTATTTAAACACGTGATTCGATAAAACATACATATATACATATTGCCATACAGTGCTCAATTAATAACTTGTAAGTATTTTAATCCAATAATTGAAAACAAAGAGTAATTTCCGATTCTTATAAAAAGTCATATCTTAATAAATAGGTCCATCGTCTAAATTATCGTCTTCATCGTCGTAACCTTCTCCATTATCGAAATAATTATTAAGATAATCAGTTCCTTCATCCATTTCCTCATCCAGTTCCTCTTCTTCATCCTCCGCATGCTCATCATCTTTTTCTTCTGTTTCTTCTTCTTCTTTTTCCTCTTCTTCTGTATCACTTTGTTGTGAATTCTCTTTTTTCTCTAATTCTTGTAACTTTGACTCAACATCAACATTTTTTTGCTTTTTCAATGGTTTCTCAAATTTTTGTCCTTTACGTTTTCTTAGCTGAGGTTTTAATTCTGCTGGCATTCTGCTCCAATCGTATCTAGTCTCGTAACTACTTTTATCTGTAATCAAATCTTGGTACCGATCTGAATACCTCTCAATATCTTTTTTAATTACAAGAGGTAAAACATTGTTAGATGATTCTCTCATATATTCTGCATATTCTCTCTTTAATTCTAACAGATAACTCATTTCTGTATTAATAATTAATGGCATTGGTTTGTATTCTAAAGAAGGATACTTTGGTGGAGGTTGTAACACTGGTGGTGGTAATGCCTCTCCTTTAGTAAAACCCAATTGTTCTGTGCTAATTGACATAGAAGGTTTACCTCTTCCTCTGCCACGCCCAGCCATGATAATAATACACGTATTTTATTTTATAATAATAATATTTAATAATAACAATTAATAATAATAAACAATTAATAAAATTAGTAAAAGCAATATTTATTTGAAATCTATTGGCAATATCTTCTCTTAAAAACTTTGATAATTCTTCACTTCAATTATGATCATAAAAAACACTTGAGAAAATATTTCGATTTATTTCATATCTTCTGAGCCATAAGCTGTTTTTCTTCATCTCTGACAAGTTCTTCCTGTTTAACTATAAACACTTCCTTATCATAAATTACTTTAATAACTAGAGAGCAAGAAGGACATGTGGCTTCTTCCATTCCAGCAGCTAATTCTGATTTAGATATTTGAAATTGATCTCCGCAAGGACATGGATAATAATATATTTCTTCATCTTCGTCATATTCAAAATCTTCAATTTCTACTTCATCATGATACACTGACATAATTTTAATAATACGAGATAATTTTGTAATGAGTTTAAATAGAGGTTAAAAGTAGTCACCATAATAAAATAAATATACTATACTTGTAAACTGTATATCATATATAGTTATCATATATAGTATTATGAAAATGATAGATAGGCTACTCTATGGAATAAAAAGATTACATATTCGCTTTTCTTTTTTCCTTTTTCTTTAATAAAAATAATTTTACAAAAATATCTATTTAATAAACATTTTCTTGTAATACAAAAATATAAAATATTTATTTACAAAAATGAAATAAATATTTCTACAAATAATTATATATTTATATCTATATTACTTTCTCTCTTTTATGTTACGTACAAATTTTTAAAGAATTTATTTCGTATTAAATCTTTTTAATATTTTTATATAATACATTTATGTAACTTTTAATATTTCAAATTGTTAATATTTTATAAAATATAAAATTATATTTAGTTAATAAAGATAAAATGTATGTATATATTTATCTATTCATACAATGATCATAAAAAAATATAATATTGACATATCATTTATAAAAAAACTATTTTTAAAAAATTATTCGAAAAAATATATATACTATATTTTATTTATTTTTATTTTATTAGAATTTTTATGTCATTATGTTGTTTTAAAATTCACATATAAATAATTTTAAAAATGATTAATACTCATATATAAATGTAATTTCAAAATATATGTATATCAGATTTAAAAATAAATTTTTCATAATTTTAATGATACAAATTGAAAATATACGTACTTTATTGAACTCAGCTGTTTTCATCAGGTGATTTTGACATTCTTATCTACTTTCAGATTAAATGAAATCATCTGTTACAACTACACATAGTTCAACATTATATGTCTGACATGGAAGAACATACACATAACTTATGCGCCAGTGTAACTATTGATATAAACGGCTATAACAGAGCCCTTTAATAACTTTTTCATAATTTATAAAATAAATATATCAATGCATTTTTCTTGATATATAAAAACATAAAGGTAGGTTATTCGTATTATGTAAATAAAACAAAATGAATGAACATTTTATTATGATACAATATATAAGATTTTATCAAAATGTTTACGAAATGTTACAAAAATATATTTTTCATGTAAAATAATTAAACAATGAATCCACTGCTATTCTTTTAATATTTCTGAATATTGTTTTAACTTATATAAGTAAATCGATTATTTAAACATTATATGACTGGAAATACTATATATTTCTATTATATGGTTATTAAAAATTTTCTTCTAAAATTTTTATTTTTTACTCTATTTATTAATATATTTATATTTTTTTATTCTATTCATTGATATAACTATATTTTTTATTGTATTATCATTATTTATCTTTAACAATAAAAATTATGAGGTTATAAAGAAATAATAATGTATATATTTATATATATATCAATATATTATATTAATGTATCTAATTAAGTATATGTAATTAAAATATGAAATATGTAAATTAAAACATTTCTGAATTATTAAAAAAAGATATTTAATAATATAGATGTCAACTGAAGAATATGATACTGAAATGGATTATTCCGACTCAGATTGCGGAGATCCAGGTTATGAAGATTATTATAATGTGCAACCATGGGATGGTGAAGGTGATAATGATATAGATAATGATCAAAGCAGAAGAGATCCTGAATATGCTGTATATGATTGTTTGAGAATTGAAGAAGTGGAAAGACTTTTGAATGAGGATGTAGAATTGTTAAGTAATAGTCTTCATATAACACCATCCTTAGCTAAAGTTTTATTACATGCGCACAATTGGACATTACAAGATATCATCACAAAATACCGTACCAATGCTTCCAGTTTATTAATTAATTCAAAAATAAAACCATTACCTCCATTGGATTCATTATCAGAATTAAAAAATCAAAGGAATGGATTATGTTCAGTTTGTGTTGCAATTTATCCAGCTGAGAAATTTTCTACATTGACATGTGGACATTCATTTTGTAAAGACTGCTGGTGCATGCATTTTGAAGTACAAATAACTCAAGGTATTTCTACAGGTAAGTTTATTGAAAAAAATGGATCAGATTATTGAAATCTTTTTATTGAATTCAGCTAAATTAATTTAAATTAGGAATAAGCTGCATGGCACAGGATTGCAATGTCTTAGCTCCAGAAGATTTTGTTTTATCTCTACTTACCAAGCCTAACATGAGAGAAAGATATCAACAGTTTGCTTTTTGTGATTATGTAAAATCCCATCCACAATTAAGGTTTTGTCCAGGGCCCAATTGTCAAATGATTATGCGTTCAAAAGAACAAAGAGCAAAAAGAGTGATGTGTTCATCATGTAAAACTGTATTTTGGTATGTATTCATATTTCTAGAATATTTATAAATTTAATCATACACTTGTTTAATCATACATATTTAGAAATAATAATAATTTCAGTTTTCGATGTGGTATTGATTATCATGCACCTACTGATTGTAATACTATGAAGAAATGGTTAACAAAATGCGCAGATGATTCAGAAACAGCTAATTATATTAGTGCCCACACCAAAGATGTCAGTATTTAAATTTTATATGTAAAATATTTGTATATAATTTTATAAAAGAAATAATCTTTAATTTATAGTGTCCAAAATGCCATATTTGTATAGAAAAAAATGGTGGCTGCAATCATATGCAATGTTATAATTGTAAGTATGATTTTTGTTGGATGTGCCTTGGAGATTGGAAAGCACATGGAAGTGAATATTATGTATGTTCACGTTATAAAGAGAATCCTAACATTGCCCATGAAAGTGTACTTGCACAAGCAAGAGAAGCTCTTAAAAAATATCTTCATTATTATGAAAGAGTAAGAGTTGTTTCTTTTTAAGATTAATTTTATATGTAATTTTATGTGTATTTATACTTTTGAATATCTTTTAGTGGGAAAATCATAGTAAATCATTAAAATTGGAAGAGCAAACATTGGAAGCTATAAAAATGCAAATAAATAAAAAAGTAATGAACTCTAGTGGAACATGGATTGACTGGCAACATTTATTTGCAGCTGCATCACTTTTAACACGTTGCCGTTATACTTTGCAATATACTTATCCTTATGCTTATTATATGGAACCTGGTCCACGTAAAGAATTGGTAAAAATTTATTTTAATTTTTAAAATATTTAATAAGTTTAAAGATAAAAGAAACACTAAATATATATAATAAATATTTATAGTTTGAATATCAACAAGCTCAATTGGAAGCAGAAATAGAAGATCTTTCTTGGAAAATAGAACATGCAGAAACAACAAATCGTGGAGACTTAGAAAATCAAATGGATATTGCTGAAAAGCGTAGAGTTACTTTACTAAAGGACTTCCTTGAAGTATAAATATTAAGTGATCATAAATATTCTATTATATCAGTCTCTTTTACAGTCAGGCCAAACTTATAAAATAACTATAGTTTAATTCTTGAAGTATTATAATCCAACAGTTATTATTTTTTATATAATATGCATTAGTTAATTGTTTGCTATAAAAAAAAAATTCAGAAATGCATAGAATAGATTAAATTGATGATATTTTAGAAAGTAGAAAAAAGATAACTATGGAAATTTGTTGAAAATTTAATTACAAGTAACTTTAGATTAAAGTGTTTTTTAATGATTAAGCAATTTTTAAATCATCATTTTTACTATAAGCACACATATATAATTCTTAAACTTTTGTTAAAAAAAATATTTGCAGTATAAAAATGAAATTTATTTGTTGGTTATGTACTCTTACATAAATGAAGAATTCTATAAATAATTTTTAATTCTATAGATTCTATAGATTCTATAGAATCTGAAATATAGAATCTATAGAATTTAAAAAAAAATGAGAGAGAGAGAGAGAGAGAGAGAGAGAGAGAGAGAGAGAGAGAGAAAGAATCACTGAAAAAAAAAATATAAGAAAGTATTGATTTGTATCGACTGATTGTTAAAATTTGATATAGAATGTATAATTTGCTAGTCTAAGAGTATTCCATAAATATTATATAATTACAGTGCTTTCTACAAAATTCATATTTAAGATTTTTATTGATTGACTATTTCTATGAATGCTTATTGCACAAAAAATATAATATAAATTTGACAATTTGACAAAAAATATAATATGAATCATTGATTTCATGATAGCATTATATTACTTATTTTATCAAATAAGATTAAATATGAATTTTATTTATCCTCAGATATTCCTCTAAGCAGTGTTATTATTAAGAAATATTTCAGTACCAATATATAAAAATAAAAATATGAAAAAAACAACAACAATAAAAAAAACAAAAAATAGCCTAATAATTTAATTAGATGCTACCTTTATTATGTAAATATTGTGGTAATGTAAAAGAATATATGTGACATTTTCTATAATTAAACTTAAGATGCATGCAACGATCAAGAACATCCACTAAAAACATAGCATAATTAAACTTTTTTTCAACTATTTATATACAATACTTTAGAATAGATATGAATGATTTTAATAAAGAATCCTATTTAAA